GAGAATTGATTAGTTCATCTCTCGAGTCTTTCGAATCATTCGTTCTTTTGTCACATGACGTGACAGCATTGGATAGAGAAATTAGTTAATTTACAAGCTTCCTTACAAACGGGTGCATAATTATTATTATTATTAGTAGTAGTAGTAGTAGTAGTATCATTATTATAATTATTATTTACTCTTACGGTTACGTGATGAGTTTCTGGTCTCAAATTGTAGCTTTTTACTTCTTACGGTTTATAAATGTGTGAATTTCTGTCATGATGGTTCTTTTCCATAACACTGAATGTTGTAACAAAGGTAATAAAGAGTTGGTTATTATTATTAAGTCTCTTTCCGGCTCAGACTGCAGGGTAGGGATGGGCATTTCCCAAAAATGTTGCATTCGAATATTTGGGCTCATAAAAAACGATTACTCGAATATTCATTTATTTAAATGAGTTTAAATAAATGATTTTTAATTATCAAGTTTTTGTCACGATTTCTGAACAAGCTTATGATTAGCTGTTACACAACAATGTTCTACAACAACGTTACGTTATATCACAAGGTTTTATTTTGGTTGAAAACGTGTAAACAAAAATACATTAAAATAAAAGCATTCAAGATCAAGCAGAGCAAACGGAAAAATCAAGCAGACTGTGCCATACAGAACGTAGGCTAATGTTACATATACTCGAGTCAGCCTATATTTATTGTGTTTACATTGTTTCACGTATAAATTCTGAGAAACAATAATATCCACATGCTCGGGTGAAAGTTTGTTCCTCAGTCTGATAACAATAAGAACGCGCCGACAAAGATAACGTGTGCTTACAGTTTCTTAGCGCTTTGTGTTAAACCACTCTCCCTCGAGGAACCTTTATATATGTCTCAAGATCATTTGGCTATCAGATGCGCTCTCTGCTCGGCTCAATCGAAGTACAGCTGCACTTACCTGCAGTCGTGAATGCAGTGATGGACAGCTGTCTTTCCTCAGTCGACTGTTTGGATTTCATGTGATTTCTCATTGTGGTGGTGATATTATGATAAATCAGTTTCACTAATTCATTTGATCAGAAGTAATTACATTTTGTCAGATCATTTAGATCAAAGTAAATGCAAATTTCGCAAGGCAAAGACTCAAACGACGAACGACTCAAACCCGAAGACTCGAGAGATGAACTAATCAATTCTCTTT